CATGCGTTTACAAGTGACAACAACAACACACCCACACATCCCCAAGCAACATGTCACACTTCATACATAACCACATATGTCACTCCTATGTCTCTTTCCCACAGTTTGTGCCACACTAAGACTAAAAATACGAATGTTTGTATATACTTAAAAATAGTATTAAGGCAGTGAATGTGGGGCAGGAGTCGCAACTTGTCAAACCTCTCATGGTTAGCCTGAACATGGTCTTTAGAGGTCAGAGCAGCTTTTAAAAACGCAGCTAATACTGCAGTGCTCCACATTCTTTAATCACAGCATTAATCCTGCGAATGTGACTTTAATTAAGGTAATATAATTAGATTAAGGTGTTTACATGACCCCAGGCTTAATTGCAGTATTTTTAGAATCCAACTAAGATTGAAGTATCGATGTACATGCCAGAGCTCCTTTTTGAAGTGACTCTTCACAATTAATGCGGAAAAATGAATCAAACGACTGCTAAAACATGCAAAGAGATGCGAAATGACCACAAAGAGATGCAAAATGAATACGATAATCCACAAAGCAACCGCAAATACATACAAGGCAACACAAAACAACCACAAAGTGATGCAAAATTACCATAAAATAATGAAAAAATGACCACAAGGAGATAAATAATGACAACGAAGCAAAGAGATGTAAAATAACCACACAGTGATGTGCACAGCTAATGGAAAAGACTTGGGGATTAGTGGCTAGAAATGACTGAAATGAAAGATTGTAGGCCAATAACATATCGGCAAAAACAGGGAGATTTCACAGGATATGAGGAAACAGATCCCTTTTTTTTTTTTTTCCTATCGAGCCCTAAAAGCGCTTTACGTCTTGCTCAAGGACACTTTGACGCTCTCTGATGGAGCTGGATACCAAACCAAGAACCTTCCCATTACTAGACGACCGCTCTACCTCCTGAACCGAGCTGCACAGATGTCTCCTACACAGTGATGTCTCTCTCTTTATCCATCACTGAGAGGCTGAACCTGCACTAATCTCCCCTCAGGTTCTTGTCCTCCTGGGCTTTGTACAGAATGCCAGTGGGTGTAAATACATGGGATTACAAGAGGCACTGGCACACTTGCGCAGACTAACGATTGGACAGCAAACTGCCTTGCTGGGAACGGTAAAGTGCACTGCTGTATTTCTCTGTCATTATGTATGTACTGATAAATCCCTCAATCTCCTTCCTCAAATCAAAATTGCACCAGTTGCTGCGGACACACACACACGAGGACTGTGGGCTTCAAAATGCTGTAATCCCGGCATAAAGTGGAAAGGGGCTTTGCCGCACATCCATTCTGTATTATTCTAAGGAATAGGCAATTACAGATAAGGCCATGGTTGTAAGTTGGATGAACTGCATTCCATGGCTCTCCCTTCGGCAGTGTTGCGGGACATATAATATATTTTCAATGAAATGTCGTCAGGTTAAAAATAGAGAGTGAAACAAGAAACAAACTCATATTGTCATATATAGAGTAAATGAGTATGCCAAGCTTTAAAATATTTTATATCATATGGGGGGGGGGGCAGTGCTCTAAGTGGCAGTGTATCAAAATAATACATGTTGCTAAAATAATTCTCTTGTAACCCTCTCATTCACTACTCTAAATCACTGAGAGCTGACAGAGAAGATCAGCGGTGGCTCTCCTCTCCCCCTGGAGCCTTTGAAGCTTGTATGGATTGACCTTGTTAAATAAGTAAAGTCCATTGTGGAACCCACCTGGAAAACAAATGAATCTTTTGCCAGATGGTGTGTCCAGAATAGAAGAGTACTTGTACAACAGTTGGTTAAGAGAAAAAGGCATGGCTTATGTACGGTTTCCATGAATAACTGGCCTTTGATAAGGGGACATCGAGCTTCAAGATTACTGCGGGTGCTCATGTAAATGCATTCATTTCTCTCTCTCTCACACACACACACACACACACACACACACACACACACACACACACACACGCCACTAAAACAATGCTAATGTCAGGCCTAAAATAATACCTCTTTCCATTGCACATTGTCCATTTTATTGAAGCTGTGAGCATCTAAAAATAGTACAATTGGGGTTGTCCAGATTTCCACTTGATGGGACCAAGTGTCAATGCAATCGCCCAAACCATTTACAACCGGCCTGGCAAACGTACCACTTTCCTAACAATTTTGTTTCTGAGTCAGCAAGACCTGTCATATATTTAGCAAGTGAATATTTTTATGTTCCTAATCAGGCTATCCAGATAACACCAGTCATAGGACCTGTACCTTACATTTCCATGTATAAAACCCTAAATCCAGGTGACAAGAATGTCTAACAAAAATTTACTGCCTGTGATTTTCTCCCTGAGTGTGATTTTTTGAGTTACCTTGCCTAAGAAGAAATTACAGGAGGGCAAATCAATTAAAGTAATGGGAATACAGTGCATAATTAAGCACCCTGCTTATTGAACTTAGGCTAATGTAATCAAATTAGCTGATCCAAACACAACTTTAATGAGACAATCATAATGGGTTCATGCGATTGTGAAGTACTGTGAACTATTATGCAGAAAAAGCATAATACATACAAAACCTGCTGGCAGGAAACACTGACATTTAGTGTCACATTTAATTCAGAAAAGTCACAATGAATCAAACAGAGGAGAAGGAGAAGGTCAGTGATTGGCTTAAGCAGTAAACTTGAATTTGAACTTACAATACAGTGATTACTATCAGGACAGTGTAAGTATCAGGTCTTGATTTTTGGCTGGACCACAACAGCAGTCTAATGATTAAATGTTTGTATGGAAGCCCTGTCTGATCGAAATTGTATTCTCTTCTGTGTTTATGACTTAAGAAAAGTAGACAAAAAAGGTTTGGCAAAAGAACAATTTCACCACAATTTTTTTTCACACTTGCCTCTCAGGGTTTCCATTCATTTGGCATTTTTGCTTGAAAAACGACCTAAGCTCATCATAAAATCATTTTTCAAAATAGTTGCCAATCAATTTTCTGTCTATGAATGAATGGACTAATAGCTGTAACTTTACTATATACAGTACATTTATGAGATGACCATGTTGCCAAAACTCTGCTTAAATACTGAATATGCAGACAAATGAGCCAAACAGTCAAAGGTCAGTGGTGCTCTTAATTTGAAAAACACATACATTTGACATTTATTAACACGACCACAATGGCACATCAATTTCTTCTGACGTCGACAGTCTGACAACATTACGCACAGCTCTGATTTTTAACTTAAACAACAAATGAGGTCTTGTCTTGTTTGTCGGACGATGTTTGCTCGCTTCCTGCTCTAACGCACTCAGCTACATCAGGCACTCAAGGAGCGCACAGCTTTCCTGTTGCCACAGGCTGCTATTCATGAACATTTCCTCCCTGTGTCTTGACCACTGAGTGTGTTCAGGACACACCTGCAGGGTGACTGATTGTGAGCTAAACGCTGAGGTCAAGGTCAGCTACTGTGCTTGTATTGTCCTGTTGTGCTGTGACAGTGAATCACAGCCTGCTGTTAAAACTCCAGATTAGTCACCAGGAGACATCACTACCAGTCCCTTGAAATACCTTAAATCACTCCTTCAAATGTCTTAAAAAGGTGTCTAAACGATGTAACGTCACCAGAGGAGCCTGGGTGGTGAAATAGAAGCATTTCCCAGGTAATACCCCTCCCTCGGGGTGAAACGGGCCAGCCTGAGACTGCCTCTGTCAGCGCAAGTGATTGTTTTGGCAACAATACTGAAAAGCAAGCACACATGGGCAACCAAGAGCAGATTCAGGCAAAATGTGAAGCTCCTGCTTGCTTTCATGTCTCACAGACCAAATGCCACCAGCCTGTCTCCTGGAACTAATACGCACTCACCTGAAGCAGATGGAGTCCTCTAACTTAAATGGATATTTCCTGTTTTTTTTTTTTTTTTTTTCCATATGAGAGAAGGATGGTTCATGAGAGAACTCAAGTTAAATCTGAATCTTAGACTCTGATGAACAAAAATGTGGACTAGTTTCTGTTGAAACTGAGAGTTGAGCTGGGACAAGAGGAACGATGAGGATTCAAAATTCATAACGAGATGAATATGAACATATATCAATCCCTTGTTGCTGTTTAAGGAGGATGATTTTCTGTTAAGTCAGAAGTATGCACCTTTATATGACCTCCAGTTTTGCAGTCAGTCTGATGGAGACTAAATTACCTCAGCTTTCTGCCTTTGGAAAGAGGCCATACAAAACATGTCTCAAGAAAACAACTATTTGACTGCCTTTTTTTTCTCGTAATATTTTCCTGTCAAATGTAAATGATGCTCCCTTCTGGATAACGCTGTTCAAATTTTTACCTGAATAAATCATTTAGAACTTATCATTTCTTAAAACATTCGCTAAATCCTTGTGCAGCTGCACCGTGCCCCAATTTCAAAATCAAAGAGATGGCAGGGGAAAAGTAGGCTGCATGTACAGTACAGCTATCAGTGAAAGTAGGAGTTTAATACATTGCTAGAGAGAGTGATGGCTGAGCCAATGTTGCAGCAGCTATAAAGGGATTATTCTTCCCTGGAAGACATAATCATGTGTAACACACTTGTTTCAAATCCTGTGAAAAACAAACAGGTGTTTCAGCTTTAAATCCATCCCTTCATCCTCTGGCACACATACAGGAGAGAACCCCCAGAAACAGACCTCTCCTGTCATTTCCTCTTTAGTTATTGGGTTATGATTATGACTAATGTCTGGATTACTCATCTGAGTAACACATTTCATAAAGGAAGAGAGAAATGTGAGGAGATATTTTTAAAATGATGCTTAAAAAATAAATAAATAATAATATCAATAAAAAACAATTCTAGGTCCAATATTTGCATTATTTAAAAAAAAAAACATCTGAAATATAAAGGCAGGCTTTGTGAAGTGTACTAGGCTATATGAATACATAGAAAGCATGAACACATAGTTATGAATAAATCAGGAAATGTGTGAAAATGAGCTCTTCACTGACCTGAGAACCCCCACAGAAAGGTGAATGAGAGCAAAGTAAGTTTCCTCGAAGTAGTATAGACCTCCATGGTTGTTTCCACTTCTCAATGTGGCAGTGTCCTTCACCCAGCTTTATATGTGAGCTGTGTTTCGCCTCGGGCAAATCTCTTCAAGTCTGTCAAGTGGTTTTTCCTTCAGTCCTCCGGCGGAGACGTTGGTGGGGAAGGTGGGGAACACTTCAGGTGAGGAAATGTGGATGCCGTCTGATCCCGCGGCCGCAGGAACCCTCTTTCCTGACTTTGCGTTGAGATGGTAATAAAGTGGAGCGTAAGCTGGATCACCACTTCCAACACCGAGGATCCTCCACGACTCTTCTTCTCCTTTTAACACTCGGCTGCATCTGCAATTCCCTCCTTATCGACACGGTAGCAGGTACAAGCCCGCAACTTATCATGCCGTGTCCTTTCCTGAGAAAGAGAGAGCGAGAGAGAGAGAGAGAGAGAGAGCGGGGAGAGAGAGACCTAGAGAGAGACAGAGGGGAGAGAGAGAGAGCAGCGTCGCCTCAGCGAGCGAGCTGGCATAAAGTTTGCCTCAACATAATTGAAGAGTTGCGGTTGTGAGCTTCAAGATAAAACCCACTGTGTACGAAGACGGTTTTGGTGAATGTTTTGCATGAGGTCCCGCTTTTATTTTGAAAGCAACGTTAACTGACATCCGGGATTTCTCTACTTGTTTATTATAGCACGACGCAAGTACACCTGTTCGCTGATTATGTGCAGGTGCATAAACGACTTTTCATGTGCAATTGCGGATATATCACTATATTTTGATTTATTTCACTTCATTGTCAGACTGTGAAATTTGTCTTGAGCCCTAAGGTGCGGGCTAAACTACTGTTCTACACATAAATACAAAAACACAAAAACACATAAAATGGCAGATTCTAATGATGCTGCTGAATATTAAAATCGAAAAATAAAAATAGGAGTGAGACAAATAAAAGAATGATCACAATGCTTTGTGAAAAAGTGGATGTGATAAATTGCATTATGATTGTCTCAGTCAAGCTTTTTTTTTGTCAAAAATTCTACTATAGGAAATAAAATGATTAATTGTAAGATAATTTCCTCAAGTGTGAGTTAGGGTTAGTGGTTGAAATGTGTCACCAATGACGTGGTGCAACCCAGACAAAAATAAAAATAAAAAAAAGGATTCACAATAAGCCTATTTTCAAACCCACACAGCTAAAGCTCCAGCCTTTCCCCCAGTCTTTAGCTCCTGCTCCATCATGTGTGAAAAGGTATGGGTCTGAGAGGAGAGAAAGACTGGACTCAGCTTGACATGAATTCCCAAGGTGAGCTCACCCCCTGATGTAAAAATATGGACCGACCTGTGCTCTCTGATGTGGTCAGACCCCTTTATTTCATTTGCTAAGGTTGCCCAGTTGCCTCAGCAACAAGGGTGAGACTAATGCAGGAGGACTGCTCAATTATGAGAGGTGAACAAGGGTTATGCCTGTGATTAAATCCAAAGAAGCAGGGTCCAAACCTTCTGGGGATGAGATTTTTGTTGTGTTGTTGTAAATTGCATCTGGGCCTCCAGATGAAATCTACAGCATTCAGGGAAAAGCTGTCAAAACAAGCCTGTTTTTATTTTGGTGCAAAAATAATTTGTGCAGGGCACTGAGGCTAATAGTGGATTCTGGACCAGACTGCTATAATCCAAATAAACAAAATGAAGTGTGGTCGAATGGTGAGCAAACCTGACACCTGGAGGTCAAATACATTGCTCACAACACTCAATTATCTATTTAAGGATTTGATGTTTTCTAATCTTTTTGCCTTTAGTGATTTTCTCTCAAATGAAAAGAGAAAATTCAATGGAAAAGTGCCAAGAAGCAAATAATATACATCACATACTGTAGGTGTACTCCCCTCATCCTTCCCCCAGATCAAACCCATGCCCCCAACCATCAAAAATGAAATGATCATAATACATCATATAATAAGGAAAAAAAACATTATTATTACTGCTGCCATCTCTGATACTGTAATTAAAAAAATAGATACCATAAATACTATAACGCCAATATGCAATAGACAGACGGGCTGTTTCATATATATTGTACAAACATCAGTTCATCACTCCTGCCAAGATGTATCTCCAGATATAATACAGCAGATCTGTCTGCGTATTCTATATATCCACACATATAAACACACGCATTGCATAGAGCACACTGTGAGCATGGACATTCACTATAAAGCTTGGTAATAGTTTAATATTTCTAAAAGGGATTACAGCCCAGTCCGCCCATTTTATTATGATACGTTTGGAGCTTGTTCACTGTGTTAAATCCTATTCTGAGGAAGAATAGCACAGCCAGAGCAGAGATATCACCAAGGTCTCGAGTGCAATTCAAGTAACCATAAATATGCAGTGAGGCTGTGTGCATTAAGACTGTAGAGTGGTAAGACTGGTCATGTAGAGATGTTGGGTCGAGGAGGTGAGTTACTCCTTTGAGCGCATAAAAGAATAAAACAGATGAAAAAAAGCAATATATATACCACAATGAAAGAATCCACTCTTTTTTGTGATCAGATTATCTCAGATTATAATCTGTAGGGTAGATGTGTGAACTCTACATAAACCCGTGTAAAAGTATCATTGTGTCAGAGTGGTTATCATCACTGTCCTAGATACTGTAGATGTGGTGTAAAGTCCAGGCACATTTTCACTGATCCAAGACCTGTCTTCTGTCTTCTGAACTCACCGTACATACACCTACATCTGGCTTCAGGTCATGTTTTCATATTTCCAATCAGGATTTATGTTCACAGCTTGAAACTGTTCACAGATTCATATTTAAAGGGTTCACTTCCACACATCAACAGGAAAAACAAATACAAAATTTTATTGACTATTTTCTGCAGATCTGATCTAATGCTTTGATGACAAAACACTAATGTGGATGAATAACATTTTCCAAAGAATTCCTGTTGTTTCTTGCATGAATGAAAGCCTATTACACATTCATTGTGAACAAAAGCAAACATCAAATATAAAACAGCAGGGTACAATGAAATATTTATTTCCATTATGTATGAGTAATCTCCGTCACTAAGTCAGAAATACTTTGCACCTACAATGTAAATAAAATAGTGAATGGAAAATGTAACATTAATTATTTACTAACAAAGGGCAGAATACAGTACAGGGATAGTTAATACAGTCTGTGTTTAAACTATAAGTAACTGATTGAGTTTAATTGTAATAATGTCACTTTTTTTTCAAGTTCAATTCTGATTACACTGTTTTTGAATGCAGTGAGTGAGAAAAAGTTCCCAGATGTTTAGTTTTCTAAATGTCAATAGCATCGTTTCACACATGCATCACAGACATGGTCAGCTGTGACTCCGCCTCTCTCAAGGACCGTTTTATTTTATCACATATTAACGCCTTTCTTAACTGTCTTTGATTTTATTTCTCAATGATGACAAATTACAGTATCTACACTACCATGACAGGATTTTCCACAGTGGCTCTCTGTGGCCATCTCCTGTCCACATGGGTGAATGGCACCCTTCAGATCTTAATCCATACTCATTCAGCCACTGCAGTCACATCATTGGTTACCAGGTGTAATGATCGCAGTGTTCACTTTCAAGAGTGATAGCATGCTAAGATTCGCCACTCTCTTGCAGGTATTTGGTTATAAGCCAAACTGTTTTTTTCCTTGACTGGTTTTGGTAAACATTATTCCTACCCATTCAAACATTGAGGGGAAACTTGTTGGCATTGCTGCAGCCCTACCCATTGACCTGATTGGGAAAGTGGTCTCAGACTTTTGGACCCCACTGTACGTACTTACATACATTGCATAACTGTGGACATGACCAGACATCGCTCATCTGTAGCTATTTCTGATACTCTAAAGGCATATGAGAAATCTGACAGCGTTATCAGTACGGCACCGACTGCCCAAACACATACAAATACTCACAAACCCATTTCCACCGTGTGGCAAATGACAGTGAGTGCCCCATTTATTGTTTTTTCAAACATGTAAACATACAAGACGGTGACTTCAAAACAATCACATACAAGACATTGTGTCAACCAATAAAATAGAAAATATCATATTTATCTTTATATACTGTATACCCAAACAAATGAACATTGCAAGTTTTGCAAAAGCCGGAATGCTAAAGAACACTGATATTCTTAAATATATATTTTAGATATATATATAAGGTAGATTTCATATACACAGACTCAATATGGAGTTCTCCATTTGTTTGATTTTTCTCTACACAGTCTTTCCTGGCACATTGCACATAACCTTAGGAATCATGTTCATAAAGAATTCAGTTTGATTATTGGTCAAAAGTGAGTTAACCTCTGCAGCTTATAGTCTTGACCTGACTAGAAGTCATAGATCAGTGCTCATAGGCCTGGTTTATACCTGCATGCAAGCAGATTATCACAAATACCTGCTGATTATGTGTCATCTGCGAGACTGATGCATTTGAAATACCAGTATCTGCAAGGCTGCAACAGCTATACACTGATACACACAACCCCACAACTGCAGCTAGAGATGCTCCAAAGCGCTGGCCACAAATACATTACCATTGGCTCTCCAGTGTATTGTCAGTGATTCTCATTTTGGCTGATAGTGTGACACCAGAAACACATAAGAAGTAGATTAATAATGACTTTACTGACCTGGTGATATTTCAGAGTATTTAGCAAAGTCATATTTCAGTGTTATGTGCAATAGATTTTGCTTGTGCAGGAGCAAAACTCTGAATCCTAACCAACATGATCAATCATAGTAATGTGCATTAGAGCTATAAAAGATCATGCAACAGGATTAGTAAGAGAGCTAAGCACACACATGCTCCATGTGGTCACACCGCGTTTTTTAACATAAGTGCAAGAGCGGTAAACATTTAAATATGAGTGTAGGCAGCAGCTGATAATCAAATAGCAGCAGCTGCTGTGACTTTAATTTAATCTTTTCATAGATTCTAACTGCTGCAAAGACATTTGGATTCAGCCATAACAAGCTGTGTGAAAAATGTTTTCATTAGTCTGTGTTTACTTGCTGCAGAGCGCCATCGTCACTGGTTGGGTAAAAGCGACGTGTCGTTTCACGTGCTGAGCCGATATGTGGAGTGAAAGCCACACCCAGCTGGCACAAAGCGCTACCGTGCCGGTCGGGTTACAGAGTGCATCGGAGTATTCACACTGCTGGATAAACAGCCATCCACGCTGGCCATTACTGATTATTTGCTTTTTGTCTCTAGTTTGCATAGAGGCATCTCTAGCTGCAGTCCAGTTACACGTGCAAAACACAAGACATAAATCACTGTTACTCTTAGACGCTTTGCGAATTCAGGTCCAGACCTCAACAGTCAAAGTAAAGGCAGTTTAAGAATAAATACACACTATGGTCCCCTCGCTGCCTTGTTTGCTACATCCTACTGAGGTAGACAGATGCATACTGCAATAGTCACCTTGCCAACCCCACATTCCCTGATGAGGCAATATTTATCTACACTAAACAAGCAGCAGAAACCTTTGTAGTGCACATTAGCCTAAAATTATAAGTACATACTTCTTGGATGTTGCAATTTTGCAATAGTTAAGCTACTGTTCCGATGTTTCTACACAATATATTTGACATATTGTGCACAGTCATTCTTTTTTATATAAGGATCTAAGGAAAAGTGTGTTGAAAAGAGCTGAAAAGACTGCAAAAATATGCCAGACTCTTGCACACATCCATGCTTTGTAACAGAATTGGTCGCCTTTCATGTTGCCTTTCTGGCTGTAACACTTGTTAATTATATTTAGTGAATACAAATGAGTAACACTGTTGTAGTGTGTTGTTATGATGCTTCTTTGTTGTTGTATTTCAAGGAGTAACCCACAGCAGTTTCGAGGCACTCCACCAGGGACCCTGCTGAGAGGAAGTCCAGCTCCACCTCAATGAATTTTATGTAAATGGCAAAACGTTGAGCCGAGTCTTCACCCCACTCGCCATCCTGACCTGTGACACCACCCCGGCAGTTCTCCTGCAGGAAATGGGTCACAGCGGAGGGTTCACTGTGGATGTAGTGTTTGCCAGAACCCTGAAAGTGCTGGAATAGACACTGCTGTATGGTCCTATCCTCAGCTATGCCTAAGTAGCAGTAAGTGACTTTAGCTCCAGTCCTGTCACCCTGCCCTGCTCCTTCTCCATCAGCCTGACTTTCAGCCCCGTTTTCGGTCTCGCACTGAGGTAAGCTATGGTCTTCACTGTCACCCTGGGGAGAGGTCTGAGCGGTGTAGTTAGAGGACAACATGGCCTCATAGCCAACAGCGTAGAGTCCATACGCCTTGGGGATGTCCCCAGGAAGGAGGTAGTGGGATGTGCCTTTGCTGCAGCCTGCTGCCCTGGATTGGGACACAGGGATCCAGTCCACCTCCATGTGCAGCTCCAGGCAGCGGGCCTCGCTAATGGTAATGTCCAGGAACTTGTAGTAGACATTCTTCCAGTTCATCTTTTGAACTTTGGTCATGATGATGCGGCCCTCTGGCTTCTCTGGGTTGAAGTACTCGCGGAGCCTCTTGCCCAGCGGCACCTGTGAGCTGATTTCAGCGTAGTGGTAACGCACGTCCTCACGCCAACGCGTGTTGTAACCCACGCCAAAGATGGCCAGTTTGTTGGAAAGGTGCAGCCGTGAGAACTCAGTCCACGTTTGGAAGTGCTCCCATTTCAGCTCCACTGACTCAAGGATGCGCATCACAGTCTGCATCATGTCCCTTTTTCTGCAGAGAGCCCAAGAAACATAACAAGGACAAAGTAATACAACGTATTCCCCATTTTTTAAAGTTTTATACAAGCAGTGACCTGCCAGACAAAATGGGCAGCTCCTTATTAGCCTGGATTTGGGAACCATTAAAATATTTCTGATAACTCTGCCCCATTTATTGGTTTTCATTTTTGTCTGGCCAGCTCCCACATGATTATAAGAGCTCAGTTTTAGACAAATAAGAACTTCAATAAATATCTATGCATTATTATCTCTAAATGTGGTAAACTCATAATTAAATGGTCACTCAGTATATGATTTTATGTATCTTGTTTTGACACAGTTTAAGGGGGCTAAAGTAAATTTTTAAAAAGAAAACAACAACAAGGCGAAACATGAAGATTCCTTGAAGCCCTGGCAAGTGAGGTTTTAAAAATTATGGCTTTGGCGACTCCCAGTGGTTGTATCAAGAAAGACGCTCTGGCAAACAGCACTGCACAGATTTGACAATCACCAAACTCAAACCTATTTTCTAATAAAATGGCTAAGATAACCTTTGTTCCACCGTACACTTATGGACTAAAATCATTTTAACCTCTGATCAGTTTATCTCTATCAAAATGAAAGTGAAAAGGGAAAAGCCAAGTGTCACATCCCATTCAGAGTAACATCAAACAAATTATATTGTTGGTTTTTTCAACAGTAATTTGTAATGATGAGGCTAAGTCAACTTACAACACAAAGCTTTATAACAAACATGTTCATTTCACAAAGACTAAGTGAAGTCAGCCTTTGTTCTTGGTGACTTACTGGGTTTGTTCTGACAGCTCTGCTTGAATCTGTAGAGCTCTGTTTTTAGGCACCTGGATTTCTTCTGAAGGGAAAAACACATACAAATATGAGTTCAAACGCACCATGCTTGTTTCATTTACTGCGATCTGACCGCTGCTTGCTGACGAACTCACCAGTCTCCATGTCTCCCTCCTGGAAAGCTGAGTCCAGCACCTGGTTGCACCAGTCCTCCTGGGAGAAGTCTTCCAGGGTGCTGCCATCAGACTCCATCTCCTGATACAGTCCACTGCTGTTGATCAGCACAGGGGCACAGCTCTGGGAGTCCCAGCCTCCCTGACCAAACACCTTCTCCAGCTGCTCTATAGTGTAGCTGCTCTTCCTTTTGCCGATCCCGTGCTCCTTCACACGGCTGTAGCAGCGCCGGAGAGTCTGTATGTGAGGGGAGGAGAACTTGATGATTTTAGGCCGGTCACACAGTGTGTAAACAAGCATTATTACTAAGCTGTTGCTCCAGTAACTTTGCAGAAAGGGTCCTAAAGAAGAGAGATATCACTTCATGTTTTCATAGCTCTGTGAACTGGTTACTTAGAGGAAGTCAATCAGCCCTGAGACTGACTTTAGTAAGCTGAGATGTCACAGATCCACATTCAATACTTAACAGTGTTGTAATGTTAGTATCACTGCTGTGCTGTATGTGCTGCACAATAAATACATAAATATATAAATATTGAAAATACTGACAGTGCTTTTTGTGATTAGCTAGCATTAAAATTTGACTCAGCATAGTTTTACATTTTCCTTTTGTTGTCTGAAACATTGCAAAGACAAAGCAAAGTTCAAATTTATTACATGTGTAATAAAGGAGAGTGGCTCAGAAAACAGACAACAAACATTACTAGGAATTACTTGGTGAGCTCATTCAACACAACATACTGAAAAAAATCAGATACACAACAACATATTAAAATCCCACAAATAAGCTAATAAAAAATGCACTTTAAAGTGCCAGTGGTTTACAATTCAGAAGTCAAATAAACCTAAACATATTGAAAAACATGCAAAATGCCAGAAATAATTACAAAGCCAACATAAACTAAAAAAACCTCAAAGTGCCAGTTTACTATTCAAGAGTCTATGGCCTCAGGGAAAGTGCTCAGATATAAAACAGGGATGTCTGAACCTCCTCCCGGAGGGCATGTCCTCAAAGAGAGGAGCAGCTGGGTGAGAACCATCTCTAACCACAATCAGAGGCTTTTGGTGAAGGCAAACTCTATAAATTAAAGAGAGGGATGGGAGGAAGTGGCTGATAATTTTCTATTTTCTATTCTTCTATTCTGTCTAATGCATTTGATTTCATAGTGGTCAGACTATCAACCCAAATTGTGACTGTGAAAGTTTGCATACAGTCTGCAACAGATGTGTAACACTGGACCTTAGCTTTCCTTGAAAACTCCCTGACGTTCCACAAAAAGTATGATCTCTGATGAGCCGACGTTACAATTTTGTGAACGTTGCTTCCTGTCTAAGGCTTGAAGAGACTATAATACCAAGAAATCTAAACTCTCACATTTTCCACAGGTTTCCTCCTGTGATTTCAAGACACAGTTTCCATCCCTCATCTTTCTCAAAGTCGATGATCATCTCTTTAGTTTTTTAATGTGTCTGACTAACTACTACTCCTACCTACTCCCTCCCCCTTATTGAAAAATCCAGAATCAATGCAAAGATGAATGTGAAAACAGCCCTCTAGTGTCTAACTCTGCACAGACGTCATGCTGCACAGTGAAGCTCAAACATCCAATTGATGAAATGAAGGAAGAAGAAGAAAAGCATATTTCTGAGATGGGAAGTCAGACTGATACATTCTTAAATGTGAGGAAATCAGGAGGTTTTCACTGGAGAATGAAGCACTGTGTCTGCAGTATAATATGTGAAATTTGATTATGTAACGACATTTGCAGGACATGTAAATTGTTATTTCTCATCTGTTGGAATTCAATTTTTGTCATTTCAAACATACTGATGGTGAATGCTTAAATCTAATGCAATGGTTTCAAATTCATGGAACTGTCATGAATATGGAGTATTGACACAATCTATTGCTGGCCTTTCTAAATATACATGTATTACATGTACTAATATGTCTGTTACACTCACATAGGTGGGTGAATGAATGACTGAATCAATCAATCAATCAATCAATCAATCAATCAATCAATCAATCAATCAATCAATCAATCAATCAATCAATCAATCAATCAATCAATCAATCAATCAATCAATCAATCAATCAATCAATCAATCAATCAATCAATCAATCAATCAATCAATCAATCAATCAATCAATCAATCAATCAATCAATCAATCAATCAATCAATCAAAGCTTGAGTTCAGGGTTGATTCCACCCTCATACAGACAACAATTTCTGGGTGTTGGAATGAACAATGTGGTTGTGAATAAAAATAATTTTACAATCCTTTTGTTCACAACCACATTTTTAACCCAGTGGTCAGCAATTGAAAAATAAAAAAACAAACTATTTTATCCAAAGTATTTATTACAATACCCTGCCAGTATTTAGTAATATGGGTACTGAAAACACATGTCAGGGTGGTAAAGAGTGGATAATTAGAGTGGAGACAAGGAGACTTGATTTTTGTATGATCGGTTATCAATGTGTTTTAGCTGTATGTCAGGTCAGCAAGTGAGGATAAGAAAATGTGACTGGATTTATTTTGCCGAACCTCTGTCTATAACCTGCACTGCAACGCTTGACAGCAACTCCCGCTCCGTCTCAGAGCCACAGGTAGAGGTCCTGATGATGGAGGATGAACATGCAGCCTTCCAGCCATTGTTATGTCCTCATAACCTTATTTACCTTCATCCTCTCCCTGCACTGGGAGGGGGTCCTCTCGTATCCCAGCTCCGACAAGGCTCTGGACACCCGCTCGTACATGGCAGGACCGGGGGCCTTACCGGAGAACACAGTGCCCGCGACCTCGAGCTGCTGCATCCTCGCCTCCGTCAGCCTCTCGTTGCCCCAGACCGCGATTAGAGCGTTTGTCTCCGACGGGGTCCATGACATCCCCCGGCAAGCCGTGAAGCTGTTGGAGGAGGATGAGGCCGCCGTCCGGCCCGCGGTCCCTGAGCCCACGTTCAAAGGCGAGAAGCGGTTAGGTGTCGAGGGATTGGAGTGGTATTGATTACTGTCACTCAAATCCTCCGACTCGGGGGATGGCACCTCGGTTTTCGGTATCTTTAACGGCGTCGATATCTCTGGAGAATGCTCCGCGTTACTGGACGCCGCCATGTTGCCTCTGTTGCTAAGGGGAGGGGAGGGAACGTGACGTTGGGCTTTACGTTAGAAAGCGTGGAGAAAAATACGGCGTGGATCCAAGGAGAGGTATAAAGGTGGATCCCGGAAGAGTTAGATCTAAAGTAAACAAACAAACGCCTCTCTACCGAGTTATTTAGAAGAATATGGGAATAAGACGATATACATGTGTGTGTATGTGTCTCCCTATACTACCTCATACTATTCAGGTTGCTCTCACACTTTAATGCAGCAAAATAATCAGAATGTGTAGTTTTGAATTAGTTAAACTATCACAATACACAAAATGAATCACTTCAGAATCCCTCTGTTGTTCCCCATTACTGCACCAAGGGTGAAAAGTCCAACAGGACATAGTCATCACTGGTCAGTGAATGAGACCTTTTATTGGATTTTGAGGGTATAATTGGTCATTTGATGGCCCGATTGATTGGTTGTGTCATTGTTTACTTCATCTTTTCTGTGACAGTGTTTGATTGGCGTCCCTCAGGGTCTACAAGTAATTCCAGCCTGCTCCGCCATCTGTCTAGTGGTTGGCGGCGTGTGTGTTTGTGGTCATCTGGGTCATGACCTGGCCAAAGCGACAGTAAGATCCTTTTTGGATGAGGTTTACACGCTAACTGTCCAAGAAAGGTCAAAGACAGGAAACACTGGTCAGTCAAATCATTACATGTCAAAACTGCAGCTGTCAATTAGTTGTCATGTCTGCTGTCAGGAAGAGAGTATGATTGGATTTGCATTTAGATGTTAAGAAAGTGTGGCTCATGCTCTGATTGAAATTAATGGTGATATTCTGTATTTTTCTTTTATTTCTTATTGTCAACAAATCCCCCCCATGAAGTCAAAACCAGAACTGAACGTATCCTCCATAAGTGTGTGTATCTTAAAGTCTGATATATCTTATTCCTCTGTACCATAGAGCTCCATCGTTGATCACATTAATGAACCACACTGTTGTACTGGGTGACATTCCTTCACCATGAACACACGCACAGTGTAATTTATTTTGACTCAGTCCCACACACACCAACTTGTCCCTGTAAAGCAACAAATGTGTAATAATCCACGGCTGAAAATTTTGCACTGTTTATTATTGTCGCAGAGTGACATTAGCTAAAAGCTACAATGCCCAGCTGATTTAAGAAAATATCCAACCCTTTTTAGCCACGCCAGCAATCTCTTGACTTTTCCTCTTGTGCCACCACATTTTTGATTTGTAGAGAAATTCTTTGAACAACTATTGGATGGACTGCAATCAATGACATTTTGTACATTCATGGTGCTCAGAGCAAGAATTTTAACATCTATTACACAGATTGGGACAAAGTTTGGTACGCCTCACAGAGCTCCTGTAAATTGGAAGTCTGTATTCGTGACCTGTTTTTAAGGATTTAAGTCTTCAGTTCTGGTTGTTTATTTAAACCAGCATCAGCCTTTGTAGAACAAAAAACAATTTACAAATGTGAAAATGTGAGGAAAAAAAATACAGATAAATGTACTTTACTGGATGAATAGATTTTGTTACATGCAGCAATATTGTTGGGGTATATATCTACAAATCAGCAAATGAAAGTTTGAATAATGATTTTAATATTTGTTTTTGTTTAACTTCCAAATAAGCAATGCAGATCAATAACTTGCTTATAACATGTCTGATCACTTATGAGGTTTCCCTGTGCACATGTTTAAGATTGAAGTCGTGACAAATAATTTTCCTTAAACATCCATATTCTGTGCACAATTAACAGTGATGATCGGTCTGCAATTACTTAATGCTGATATTAACTGAGAACTCGATGAGAGATGTTGAAGATGTTAGAAAAGTGAGTCTCGCCGGGATTTTTCACAGACACATCTGAAAGCAGTAAGGTCGAGTCTTCTGTGGCCTCATTTGTGTTTTAATATTCTGGAAAGCACATCTGAACAAAATAGTGAGGATCTGTGTTAATCTATGTACCATCAAGAGGCCGTCATTATATTCTGGAGACATGTACAGACATAACTTAAAGTTAATGAGATGGGACTTTATTTGCACATGTTCAGGACACTGACTTCACCTTTCAGTTCCACCAGCTTTGCTGACGCCTCATGAATTTGAAGTCTGAGAGTAGCTTTTTTTTTTTTATAATTAGAGAACGGTTGTGATAATAATCCTGGTCTAATCATCAGTGGGACAATTTGCTTTTTTCAAACTGTAAATGATTGCTAAGAGATAAGACCTGACATAGATGGATGTTAGTGTGAATATCACAAAGTTCAATGTAGTTGACCTGTGAGAGGATGGTTTTGATTGTCATAATGCATACATTATATATTCCAATATTTCCTTTGTTATAAGTTAGAATCAGGGCTTACGTGAAAGGAGGTGTAAAAATCAATCTTTGTTTTGCTGAAAGCAGCAACATAAATTCACCACCCAACTTCAGTTGGGTGATGGATTTATTTTTGTCTCCATGCTCGTCTTTGATTGGGCCACATCTGTTACCAATGAGCCTCAGTATTAATGACAGTGCCAGGAATGCCCTCAAGTGTTTTCATTTAAGCGTATCTGAGTGCAGTCCTACTTATGGCTCCAAACTCATTACTTTACATGTGTGAAGTGACACGATGATTATGAAGTTAAAGTGCAGCTTGTCATCTTAAATTTGATGGTGCTTCCACCCATCAGATGATCTTTTTTTTGTTGTTGTTGTTTTTCTGTTTAATTCAAAGTGGTACAAGTCATCTGGTGGAGCAGACACATTAAAGTAGCATTTGATACAGCAGCCGGTTCTCATACATGCTGAAAAGTCTTGATATAGACTGATTTCTAGACTGCAGCTGCCCAACATGACCCTATTAGTATTCCACAGCAGTGTAATATATTCATGTATTAGAAATGGCTAAACACCTACACTCATCATATTCACGTTTCAGGTGTTCTTCTCAGCCTTTTTGAATTTCAATGTGTCTCTGTGAGGATTCGCCCCAAACTCCACTTGGCAATGAATTGAAGCAGCGTGAAATACTGTGCATGTATGACTAAATTATTAAAAGTTCTCATTATCAAGTAGCTACAAGCTAACAAGGGTTGACTATTTTTACTGCTTTTAAACTGTTATATCAGGCACACTGATCCCAGAATTGGTCCTCTTCCTTGGATGGAAGGCGTTATTGAAATTAGAATTAAACATGACTTACTAGATTGTCAGTAAAGTGGTTTTGATTTATTGATTAATTAATCCACTGATTGATCCACTCAGGAAAACGTATCCTAACATCATCTGTAAGCTTCCTTAGCATTGTAGCCCAATCTGCATCTGTATCTTCATATTAAAAATTCATCTAACATCAAAATGGTGCTAAAAGCAGTGAGAAAAAAACCGTTTATGCAGTACAACAACATAATGGCTAACACATATTCAGTCTTCTAAACTTGACCCCCTACTGTTTTTCATATCGTCTTTTAAAAATGAGCTATCAGTTTTTGAAGGCTTTCCACATCCTCCATCACTTTCAGTATCACTTCACTCCCATCATCTCAGTGGTCCGATTGGATCATTACTAGTGTGAAATGACTATTACGTGGGCTGCTTCCGTGATACTGATTGCAGTAGACATGTCATCTTAAGCACACCAGGCTAAAAAAAACCAGTCACAGTGGAAATCCTGTCTCCTCTGCCTTCTTAGCAGACAGTGAAATCACCCCAAGATTACAGAAAAGATGGAGGAGTCTATCAAAAGCAGTTGGAGTAGTTGAGCACTTTATTTTTTTTAATTTTTTTAACTGCTCTTTGCTCTTGCTCTTTTGTTGTAACATGTAACTTTTAACTATTACTATTATAGACGACCAAGAAAACCAACACATATTCACTTGTGAGAAGTTGGAAGGAGGGTTGCATGATATGCAAAAAAAAAAGTCATATTGCGATTATTTTTGCAGATATTGCGATTACGATATGAGTCAAGATTTCAGTTGGATTGATTGATTTTGCAAATTTAAAAATGATGATGATGTGATTTTTGTTGGGGCTTGTACCAAACAAGCATGTCCTCTTACAAATCGAGAATATGATTTGCAGGCTGGGGTATCTCTGTAGCACCACAATGCTTATGGTGCTAACAATGCACAATGATGATGTGACACATTTTACCTTTATCAAAAAAATCGCAGCTCGTGTGATTAAGATATTGCACTCGCCAAATTGCGATTTCGATCTTAATTGTGCAGCCGTGGTTGGAACCAGTGAATGTTTGGCAGTTTTCCTTGAGAAATTAAACAGTGTACTTAGCGGGCTCGAGATATGTAGTATTGACCATGACTTACCATGTCCCACGTTCAAGTATGGTTATAAATTATACGAAAAGTTTACAACTTTTCATATAATTTATAACTTTTTGTTATAGTTTTTTAGAAGGGTTTACAACTTGTCTGTACAGCAAAAAAAGAAGTGTGGTCACATATTATATAGAGTGAAAAAGTCTGCGTTAAAGTTTGGTGTGAATGGATGGGTCAATAAAACACAAGAATTTCACACAGACTGGTGTGAGTGATTTGATTTCAATGTGAAACTGGCAGTTTATGTTATCAGCCATGACTGATCGACAACTTTAACCACGCTGTTATTGTAACTTAATTATCATGTATTATGTAATTATCAAGTAGTTTTTATGCCTAAACCTAACCAAGCCATGAACGTTATTATAGTAACCATGGCAACAAAGGTCCAGTACGCCTGCCGCTGTAGGGGCAATATTTCAGGACACACTCCTGTGGGTTGTATGAGGGGCTTGGAACGACCTGTAGGGTTGTTCAGGTTGGAGGACTTGTTGGTGACAATTCATCCTGGTCTGAGCTAAATTTCATGACCGTCCTTGTAGTATTTGTTGAGAGATTTCACTCAAAAGCACAAATGTCAGCATCATGGTGGCACTACAGCAAAACTAAAGGGATTACCAAGTCAGACTTATTTTCTACCATGAATATCTGAACAAAATGTCAAAACGTCTCATAGATAT